ATATATATATATATATATATATATATATATATATATATATATATATATATATACACATATATCGCTCATTTGCTGCAATAATAACATAACTCAAATTTTATTTTTTAAGAAAACCTATTTAAAATTTTAAATTGCTATTATTCAAGAGAAACAAATGAAAAAATTACGATTTTTAGTTATGTCGTTATTATAGCAAATGAGCGATATTATAATAAATCAAATGTAAATTAATATGCAAAACTCATTGCGGAGAAAACAATTTGAGAAAATAATACAGGTAAATCTAAGAGTTAAGTTATTAAAGATTATACTGACAAAAACTAATATTACACTGACAAAAACTTTGTTTTAAATAAAAAAATAAGTATTAGTATGTTATAAATATAAGTATACTAGTTTGAAAACAAAATTTGTCAGTGTAATTTATACATATTATCAATGTTGTTGAACATGTTTTTCAACACAACTTAATAAACTTTCAAATGTAAACATACAAAATAAACTTTTAAATTTAAAAAATAAAGTATTGTAAAGCGCATCGTTACCCACGTCGAAACGTCGAACTAAAAACTAAAGGGACTCTGCCTCTGCCAGTTCTTTTTGTTGCTTTCGCTGTAATCGTTCCCTAAATATATATGTATATAACAATTAATAATAAAATATCACTTTAATATATAAATTTATAAATATTGCCACTCTTCCTTGTGTTAACTCACATATCTCTGTCATGACGCAATTTGCCTTGAATTAACCATTTGGAGATAACTTCATATTTTATATTCTTTATTTGTTTGTCATCTGTTTGGAATTTCGCATGAACACATTCTAAAAAAGAAATTTATTTTAATATTAAAAGTGCCTTGGTCAAAATTATAATTATTGGAAATGTGTTGTTGATAATATATAATTAAATAATTATTTAATTTATTTTGAATGAAGAAATTATATTTTAATGTTTACTAATGTTTTATGCACTTAGTTAATAACAAATCTTTAAAAGCTGCTTTCTTAGCATCTTTGCCATTCCAACAATATAGCATCGAAACGTAATTAGTAATAAAATTTTTCAGAATTGTAATTATCATGTCATGATATGTTTTTTTACCTAACTGCCTCATAAAAATTATCTAAAACATAGAAATTAAAATTGGTAACTATATTATTCGTTATATGAAATTGTTAAAAATAAAATAATCATCTTTTGACAATAAAGAAGAAAATGAAATTAACCCAGACAACACAAAATCTAAAATCTGAACATTAAGATATCTTTTAAACATCTCTCACAAAGATGTCTGCAAGACGTCTTATGTCTCAATTTTGGACTTTGTGTTGTCTGAAAATTTAGAAAATTAATAGGAAATAATTTCAGGTATATATATGAAATTACAGTATATCAACATACAAAATGATTTTATAAATTTAAGAAATATCGAAGACTCTTCGCATAATGTAATTTTATATATACGTAAAATTATTTCCCATTAATTAAGTCAATTCCCAGACAACATAAATTTATTGTAAACAATATATAAGCTTACCATATGGTTAAAGAAATTTGTATCTTGCAAATCCAATTCTAATTTTGTCATATCGCCAATGGTTTTTAAAGGCAAACATACAATGTCTTCAATATTAAAATATTCATCTTTTTTAACATTTATGCCGCTTTCTAGCTTTTCTTCGAGATTTCTCAATCTCCCATCAATACAATTCAACTTTGAATCCATTTTATTGCACTTACGTATAATTCTCTTTTGAGTTCTAAAATATTGATTATATTAATACAAACTAAAATTGGCCGGGAGCGGTGCACTTGGACACGGTGCATTTGGACACAGCCAATCACAGCACCGTGTGATTAGAGACATTTGTAGGGTCCCTTGGAACAGCGACTTGTGATTGGACTGTGTCCAATTGCCCCGTGTCCAACTGATATACACCCAAATTGGCCAATACCATGAAATATAAAAACAATTTCATATTAATATTTTTTTTATACATACCCATATCCTCTAAAATTGTTGAATTACAATTGTTAACATTCAACATCCTTGAGTCAATGGTTGCAATTGGCTTTTTCAAAACCTCACGCGCAGATTCATTTATGGTATCACGAGAAGTAACTTCTTGTTTAGCATGAAATAGCGAAGATGATGATAAATCTGTACGATTACAATTTTCTTTCTGCTCATAACTTGTTTTATTTGATAATCTTGAATGTTCTCTATTTGGACTCTTCAAAGAGTATTCTGAAGGCTTGTTCATAGAGAGCGTAGTTGGTTTTTTTGGCGGTGGAGGTAACATACAACGTAAATCCTTATATTCATCGTCGGAATGAATATTTTTTTTCGCCCTATTTTGATGATTTTGTTTATTATTTTCATTAACTGATGAATCTATATCAGATAACTTTTCTGCCAGTTTCACCTTGGCCATTCCACTCTCGTATGTATTGTAACGCTGCACTCGCGACTCGCGCAGTCGGCACACGAATCGGGTGCAGCGACAAAATTATGTTATTTACTTCCTGGTCAGCTCTCACAGTTTGACGGATTTCGCAAGACCCGACAGCTCACACGAAACAAAAGAAAGCTCTAACTGGGCGGTCCGTACCCACTAAAAGAATCGTACACTAAACACGAAAAGGTTGGTCTCGTCGGAGAGTAGCA